GCGACCACCGCTCTATCTTTACTGATGAAGGAGAGATCAAGCAGATCTCTTGACCATGTCAGCGGATGCAGCTGTGGTAGTTTCAGATCAAAGAAATCTGCAGCCTCCCTCCAGAACAGCAAAGCATGCTCGCACTTGATTAACGCATGGAACAGTGACTCATTATCATGTCCACACATTGGGCACACTTCAACATCACTAACATGTGGCCTGTGGGACTCACCAAGTGATGGCAGGAAACCCTTTAGCACCCACCACCAGAAGGCTCTTATTTTTGGCTGGACCTTTAATTTCCAAAGAGCTTTCCATATGTCCTGGCCTTCAGATGAACTACTTGGTTGGTCCGACACACTTCCTTGCTTCTCCATCAACAACTGATGCGCTGAACGTACAGTAAACATCCCTGACTGCTCACAGCCCCAGGCACAAAAGTCCTCCATAGAAAATCTCGACCTTGGCAAATTTAGAATGCCATCAGCGTCCAAGGCAATAAACATCTTCTTCACATCCCCGTTCCACACACCTGTCTCGGAAATAAGATCCGCTACAAGCTGCACTGGTTCCCCTGCAAGTCTGCATATTGGTCTCATAGTAGGCATACCTTGTATCCAATTGCATAAGCTTGTTGTTGTTTCGCCTTTTCCCCTTTGTGCCATGTCTTTGTTAATTTGGTTAGATGAATGCTATGGTTTGCATTAATCTTGTCTAGAAAATTGTTTATTTTCTACATGTTGAATATCGCTTTGCTAAAGCTTCCCTCGTTCCTCAACAGTTTGGTGGATTGCCAATAGAGCTGGCTGCTGAGTATGGCACATGGGAAGATGTTGAGATTCTCTTTCCTTTCACCTCTCCCATTTCAACTGCGACAAATTGGCGCATTGATGGAATCGCTAGTCATGTGAAGATGGAAATCAATCATCTTGAGGTATGTCACTGTAGCAAAGCCCACTGCAATTTTGGTTCATGTTAACTCTCTGAGCAAATGTCAGCTTTAATGTTAAACTAAAACCTGATAGATCAAGAAATGCCTGAGTACAATTTTCTACTCCAGACCCATCAAATGTGCTCGAGTATAATTTTCCTTGCGCCTGCTTTGATGTCTATTCTCTGGTCATGAAAACTCATTTATTTGAGTGGTGCTTCATCAAGTATGATATGTTGAAATCAATAGGTGTACCTACTAATTTTCTTGAATAGCTCTCTCCATTTTACTTGAAGTGAGAACTGGAATTTCAAATGTTGCATTGATTAAAACTGTATACAAGTGTTTATCACATTCCTTTTTTAGTCAAACAGCGTGGCCCGAAAGGCCAGACCTGAAACAGGTTCTAGCAAAAGAGGCGTTACAGCTCAAAACTACCCAGAGTGAAACGACATGTCTCATACAGTTTTAGGACAAGGACTAAAAGTTCTATAAGCATCTTAACAAAAGGGAGCACCACAAACACACACTTGTTACAAGACTGGAGTTGTTTTAATCTTCTCCACTTGAGTCGCGCTTCTTGCAGGAAACCTCCAGGGCTAACTAAGGAAGAGGGTACATCTTGCTAGGGTAGGGATTGCATTAACATACTGCTAGTTATACTGTGCAGCAATGCGAGGTTTGCGAGGACCACGGCGGAGAGTCAAATTCTGATTAGCGGCAACTGGCAGGTGATCAGCAGTCTCGCGGATAGCATCCTGGCGTGCGGTAATGAGGAAATCACGCACGTGCTGCGCTGACACAAAGAAGGAGTGCGGGCCGTTGAAGCCGCCATGAAGGATGCCGATGACTTGGCCAGAGAGGTTGAGGAGGGGGCCACCGGACGAGCCCATGGTGCTTCCAATCTGCGCTTCCAGGAGTTGCATGTCGTACCCGGGCACATTCTTGCTGATGTTTCCCACGAATCTGGTCAGGCCTTGATATCCCTGGTAGTGAGTGTGGACAAGGTCATCGGGCCAGGAGAGCAGCATGCAAGGGCCGGTTGTATCCAGATCTGTGCTGATCTCCAGGGTCGGGTGCGGCGTTTCACACACCACCGTCTGCCGCCGTCTGTTTATGCCCCTCCCCACTGTCCTGAACCTCAGTGCAATGTCGCCAACATCTGCCCTCAGCATCAGCAGGTCCTTGGCGCAGTCAATCGAGGAGATCACCGCCGGGAAGTAGGCTCCATCTTCCTCTCTCCTCGCCCCTCTGCGGATGCAGTCCTCCTCAGCGTGGCTGCAGTAGACGTAGACGTGTAGAGCTTCCTCAGGGTGGCCTTGTGCACCGGCTGCGCGGGCGAACGGTACATGTGCTCCACGATATGCGCCGTTGTGGCGATGAGGATCTGGCCCTCCTCGACGACGGCGGACGCGAAGCCGGTGGCGCAGTGGGATGGAGCGTCGCAGGCTTGGGTCAGGGCGTCTCCCTCCTTGCTCCCAGCTTTCGTGGCGATCTCCAGGATGGACTCCTTTACCTTCTCCCCCGGCTTGGGCTGGAACTCGACGAAGAAGATAGACGCCTTGGATGCGTTGAACACCTGCCTCCAGTCAGGCGCGGCATTGGCCGCCGGAGCTGCCATGGCCAGATCTAATCGACCTTTTCTGCCGCCGTACGTCGCTGGACCTTGTCGGATCCGACGGGAAGGGGATGAGACGGCCACGATCCGGTCTTCGCCGCCAGCGGCAGCTGCGAGTGCGCCGGCGGCGAGGTTGGGAGCAGGCTTGGAATCGATCCGCCGCCGCCTCACGGCCTGCCGGATGTGAGGGAGAGACGCGGGGCGCTGTGGCTCGATTTGGACGAACGACTCGTTACGGATCTGGGCCGAATATTCCTTCGGTGGGAACGAGAATGAGGCCTGTGTACTGTACCAAACACAAGAATGAGGCCTGTGTACTGTACCAAACAAATATGTACCGACTCGTTACATATTTCATCCTCTGGATCCATACAAACCACGTAAAATAAACCTACGTGCTACAACACCCTAGTTACGATTCGTCGTCGGAGATCTCCACGGCGTCGGTGCCGGGTGGACGGGCACGTAGGAGGGCTCCGGCTCCTCCTCCTCCTCATCCATATACGCGAGCATCTCGTTGACTTCCGCGGCGTGCTCCGCCTACACCTCCTGCCGATGAGGGCGTCTGGCATCCGCATCCGACTTCGGCTGGAGGTAATCGAGGATCGCCTACTGCTCTGCCTGCAGATCCGCGTCCCCCACATCCTCCTTCGGATCCACCGCGTCCGGATGTAGCCTCACGGCGGTTCGGGCTTCGCGCCTTTCCCAAATCTGCTCAAGGGGCTGCAGCCGGCCCTTCGGCGTTAGTTATGGGTAGCTCCTTACCTGGCGGCGTGGGGGCATGCCTATTAGTTGTGGCGGCCAACAAGTGGAAAGTGGCGGCGGCGGCGGATGGGAGGAGGGAAATGTACACAGGTAGGGTTTCAGTGTCGGCGATCGGCTTAAATAGCTGGGCTAGGCACTACGCGGCCCGCCGAAGCGGCGCCACGCGACGCCATCGGTCCGACGGAGGAGACAAGCTTCGGACCATCGGGTTTCCGAGTGTTTCCTATGGGACCCCATATTTAGTCTGATGTGGCGGACGCGCCCAGGCGCTCCCATATCCGCCCCCAGATTTGGGCTGGATATGAGGGGTGCCAATCAGCCCGGGCGTTTGAGACCCGTTTCAGGAGCCCGTCTGGGTCATTTTTTCGTGACCGCTCACTGCCCTGGCCGTCCGCCCAGACGTTTAAGGCGGGTTTGGGCACCTAGCTCTTAGCTACAAAATAGATGAGATAGCGCAACAAAGGGGAACACACACACAAGAAAAATCTACCAGATAAGCTCTAACGTTAGGTAAACGATTCCTGCAGGCAACCGGCTAGGAATTGCGCCCGTTGCCTCGGCGCGCTCTACTGCACATGGGCCCACATGGGCGCTCGGCCTACCCATGCGCAAGTGTCATCCCTCCGTGACCTTAGGGCAACTCTGACGGATGGAGCCAAATGGACATGCAAAGTGCCGGTTTTTGTCCGTTTGGGTCGGCCAGGAGGACAGCAAAGTCCAGCCGTGCCTTTCGACTCATAAATGCGCCCAACGCGCCGGGACGCATTTCAAATGTTGCTGCTCTGACTGTTGCTGCTCAGGCTGCATGAACACCGACTGGGGCATATGCACGACACCAACTTGGGCGTGCACGGGAGCATGGACGTCCATGACCATGAGTGCCCCACCAGTGCCACCATTGGCCACGACTCCTGCTCCGTCTCGGGCGCGGGCGGGGTGCGACGACTTGTACTCCGGCCGATCCGGCCAGCACCAGTGGCAGACCAGGCCACATGATGAGCTCATTGAGCCGTCTTCGATGGCCTTCCTGTAGGCCTCGTCGGCCTCCTCCTCCACCGTCAGCCGTGGTGTCGGAGCGCACGTGGGGAGCACGGGGCGCTGGCACACGAACCAAGAATCGGTTGTGCTCATTGGTGAACATCGTGTCCCAGTGCATGGAGTCCACCGTGAACACTGGATCATCGCGGTGATCAGCTAGGAGCTGAGCGCGACGGCGGTAGATCTTCGCCTCTCGTGCGTGACTTGTGGCCCGCACGCGCGGCACTGGAGCCCTATCTAGGTTCAAATGGCAGCCGTGCGGCAGGTTAATGTCCGTCCAGGGCATGGGGATGGCGTTCTCCTAGTAGTGCCGACACCGGTGGACGGGCATGTAGGTGCGGTCTCGCGCCGACGACGCATGCCTAGGCGGCGTCACGGGGAAGGTCGCTGCGCGGCGTCGCCCTGAGGAGTAGCCTGCCTTGTGGTCGTGCGCTTCCACGACATGGTGGGCGGCGGCAATGGCTAGGGTTGGGTTGGCTGTCGGTCGGCTGGGGCAGAGAGAGGGAGAAGATTGGGCGCAGTGGCCGCACACACGCATTTAAAAGGACTGACACATGGTAGTTGGGTGGCTAGCAAGTGGGGCCGGGGTGGACACCAAGCGGACAAGCAGCGCATCCGTGTGGACGCAAACCCGACCCATAAGCAGACGGATACAAAATGGGTTTGCGTCCGTGCATTGGGCCGTCATTTCTGCCCACGCGAACACAAACGGACGAAATACGTCCATGCTTTGGAGTATCCCTTATCCTCCCACGCCATCAATGGCAAGGTCTCGGCCATGCGAGTCCCGCTCTTGCGCAACTAGTGCTATTTTTGGAAAGCGGGCTGCAGGGGGAGACGGCGACGGGGGTAAGCCACTATAATGAAGCTTCAAATGGAAGTTTTGAGGAACATTCAACAACCTTCATTAGACGGGGGTAAGCCACTATAATGAAGTTGTCTCGTTGTTTGAGTGAATATATGAGTTGTTTAAGAAGGTTTCAGTTTATTTATAAATGACCTGGACCAAGCTTTCATCTCCACTTTAAGTTTCTTTAATTTTTTGAAGTCACCCAATAAAACTTACTCTCATCTAAAGCAAACCAGGCAACCCTTTTTGTTTTTATATTATATCACATGATAGTGCTTTTCATGTTAGTCACTTAGTCTGCTTCTGATTTTGAGCATTGTAAACTTTGCAATACTGATGCATATAGTCAATACATATTATTGACCTGATAGTCCAAAGATTCACCATTTTCCAAAGGAGTGCCCACACAATTGTATGTATTTTAACTATTTTTAATCACTAGCAACTGATATATCATGGTTGGAACTGTAGATCACAGAGGTTGATCATACTTGACCAATTCTGCATAAGTGAATACAAAAGAAGTGATTCCAGCAAACATGAAAGTGTGGAGTATGAACTTATGTTCAGCGGATGGTCTCAAGTTCAACCTATCATAGGTTTCAAGTTCAAACTAACAAAAAAGAGGAAATATTCACTCCTGGAAATGGGTGTCACTGATCTGGGAACCTTCATGTCAGTACACTATGCTTCTACCCTAACAAAGATTTTCTAATGCATTTGAACATGTTCCGAGATTGTTTGATGCTTCTGAGCTGTGAAGTTTTAAACACTTCATATGTTCTACTGATTCAGAAAGTTACTACTATATGCAAGCGACTCTGATTTAGGACTAGTTTACGAGAAATATGTGCTGCTAATAGGTCGGATAAGAAGCAGGTATTATTTATTGTGAATTGATATTCCCCTCTCCTAAATGATTTTTCTTAACTTTGCATTGGTTCTACCTTCTGTAACTTCTATTTTTACATGACAGCAAATTAAAGCACTTCTTGAAAATGTTGGATCTTCAATGCGTCCTGATCATTGTGATTAGTTTGGACACAGTGGTCTTGAGGCTCAATCTCGAAATGCTGATAGATCAGTTGTCACTCATTTTTTGCAAGCACATCCGACAGACTATGCAACCAAGAAATTACAGGTTAGCAGATTTTATTGGTTCTTGTCCAACAAGACTCTTCTTGACTGTAATAGACATACTTCCATTTTAAATGCATGATAACTGCAACGTCAGTAAGTCAATAGCTTGTTTGTTCTGGACTGTTACAGGAGATGATCCGTCTGATGAAGAAGAGAAATCTCCCTGCAGCTTTCAAATGTTACTGGAATTACCAAAAATTTGATTCTCTTTCAAATGATAACTTGTATTACAAGATGGTTATCCATGTGCACAAGGATTCTGCTTTTAGACGTTATCAGCAAGAGACGAGGTAAGATTTTGCCATAGTTTATCTCTCATCTCCCTTCGCCATTTATGATTATATACGCATACTGACTATTTGCTCTGCTTCCCTATACAACAAGTTCCTGTCTACCATGGTCATTTTCCTATACTACTAATGGCTTCTTAGTTCCCACACCCGCCTTGTAATATGAAATGGAGAAAGTGTCTCATTAGCTTTCTCTTTTTGATATTTATTTATTAGTTCTCATGAATCCTGCATTTTTATTTCTAGGAAAAATCAAGAGTTGTGGCCACTGTACAGAGGTAAGATGAACATTTTGTTTCATAAAACTCCCACCTCTTTTGACAACTAATTCTCAGCTCTTGCAATTAATACCTGTACCGATGCACCTTTGACTGACCTATGTTTCATGGTTAGGTTTCTTCATTGATGTAAACCTGTTCAAGGCTGCTGAACTTTCCAAAGACAGTAACGCTGTACCAGAAAATATCAATGGACTTCCGAATTCAAGATCGTCAACTAAGGATGGTCTGGTTGATGAGGATTCAAATTTGATGGTTAAACTAAAATTCCTGGCCTAAAAGGTACTTTGCCATTGTTTTCAGCTTATTTTGACACTTTGCTCGGTGGTCACTTGTTGAAATATGAATACTATGCTCTTTACCCTGGATTGGTGTATCTCATTCTGCTTGTAACAGATTGTTCCGTCTGATCGCTTCAGGGATTTAGTTTTGTTCTGCCTTGCCATCTCATTACATCTTGAATGGGAAACAGTAAAAACATTGTCACCTTTAGTTAGCCAATTAAGCCTTGGTCGCTAGGGGAACATGATCGCCTCGCTTGATAGTCTTTCCTCCATGGAAGAAGACAGAGACTAGATTACATCCTCCAGTCATTCTCCGTTATAAGACAGAGTTTTTAATTAGCTCAGAATTCGGTTCAGGATCTCTCATCCACAATGTTTTCATAACGTAATGCTGTTTTTGATCTTACCTTGAACTTGGTGTTCTATATGTATTAAGATTGCACAGTAGTGGTCTTACTGTGGTCTGTAGAGAGTCACTCTCGTATTGCCAAAAATCTATCTAATCAAACCTTGATGTTTTTTTATTTGTGTAGACACTTGGCTGCTGCTAGCCTTCATGGATGAGTATATGGAATTAACCCTTGCACGCCAATTACAGATCAAGTTCGGCGTAATCCTTTTTTCTGTCAGACAAGAACTTCAAATTATGGTGCCTTTGGACCGTAGAAGCAACTTAGCTTAGAGCATAACATGCATGTTAGAGCAGAACCTGTTATTGGCTACTGATTTTGAGTTTTGTGAAACTCACATCCTGTCTGTATGCAAGTGTGGCAGCTGTGGATGATGGATTGAACTGTGTAATTATGCTAGACTGAAATGTTTGGACCGTAGCAGCCACATAGCTCGGGATGATGAAGTGTTCAAAAAGCCAAGCGCGAAGAACTGTAACTGAGTTTTCAGGCAGTCTCCTCTGTGGCTCCAGGCGTTTTAAGGAATCATACCATACTGTTGGAAAGCCATTGTGTGCTCAAACTCAAACTTTGCACCATTGTGTGAATTATCATGGATGAGTTCATCACCACCACTCTGCTCCGTCCATCATATGTTGAACCATTGTGGGAAGCAAGCATGTCAGATTCCCTTGCCCATGAGTCCTGCGACATTGCAGAATGGTGGCCATGGCCAGGCCCAGGCATCTCCATGCAATTCTGCGGAGTCTACAGAATGCCGCTGAACTCCTTGTATGGCCCAGAAGACTTACTGACCAAGATTACGGTGAAGCATAGATATTACGCAGAACCAGTAGTAAGTTCCAGCAGAAGATCAATTCAACTTCCTGCAGTTGACGGAAATGAAATGGGCTGATAAGAAAATGCAGCCAAGTTTAAAATCTAAGTATTATTTTTTACTACGGGATGTCATATGGCATACTGGTGCCGAAAGGAATTACAAGTATTTGTAAAACAGTTGGACAAAAGATCTTCGCAGCACTCTAAACATGAAAAGTTTGGCAAAAAAAAAAAAGAACTGCGTGATCTGCACTGGCAGCAGTAGCAAACAGAGGCCAGTCTTCACAAGTTGGATATTAAAACTGAGGTTCAGGCCCGGTTTTCGCATGGACGTCCATTGGCTACTTCAATGCCTCCTTCTCTTCTTAGCGTAGTCCGGGTCAAATGGAATCCATGTAAACAATTTGCAACATGAACAGTTGCCCCTGAGTCAATCCACCAAGTAGTTTTTGAAAACTGTGTGTACAAGGATTCATTAACTAAGGAAACAATGTTGTTACCTTGCTTTACCATTAAGGACTTCAGCCAAACAGGGCAGTCTTTCTTGTAATGCCCGGTCTGCTTACAGTGGAGACAAGTGTCTTTGTCCACTGGGAAAGACTGTTGCTGACGCTGATGCTGATAGGGAGCTTTTCCTTGTGGCTTTGAAGGAGAGCTTTTGTTGTTTTGATTGTAGTTCTTTTTCTTATGATTCTTCACATAGTTGAGTGTTCCACCATGTGAAGCTTTTAGTCTGTCCTCTTCTTGGACACACATAGCAATTGTCTTTTCTATGTCTCATGTTCCAGGTGACATATTATAATTCACAACAAAAGTTTCAAACTCCTTTGGCAGTGAAGCCATGACAAGGTGGACCAAGAGCTTTGGTTTGATCTCCAGATCCTCATCCATAGGCCTTAACTTTGCTGCCATATTGCTCATCCTCAGGATGTGCTCTCTTATTCCACCACCTGTGTATTGTTCTGTCACAAGTTGTTTTAACACCTGGGTGGCATATATCTTTGAAGAGCCAGTGAACTGGCTCTTTATCTTTGTCAGCAACTCCGCTGCTGAAGTGCACTCTGCAATAGAGCCCACAATGGTGCTCTCAATTGTATTCTTTATAAAGGCCATGCATTTTTTATTTGCATTGACCCACTTTTGGTTCGCTATGATGTAGGACATCTCCAAAGGAGCATAATCCCCTCTCCTTTTAGCCCATGCAACATCATCCTCGGTAGTCTCTCTTACTGGCTCTGTAGGTCTGACCGGCTGTGGTTCATCCAGAACCCAGTCCAGATCAGCACAAACAAATGCCAGTTCAACTTTCTTCCTCCAATCAGTGTGGTTGTCACCTCTGAGTGTCGAAACTTCTTTTAGGCAACTCATCAAGTGAAAGCCTCCTGAAATCACAATTTAAGTGACATCAATATAACAACCATATGCATTAATCTAACGTTGGTCAAATTAAACATATAATTGTCTATGCAATTAAATCTATATTACCGTTGGGCAAAATACTAGAAATAAATGCACCTTTAAATTTCAATAATAAAACATGATCATGTTATTAACAACGTTGGTTATAAAAATAACATAATCATATTAATTCGAATAATCACTTTAATGTGCTCTATAAAAAATAATTCTCTCTAAACTTTATCTCTTTATAAAAGCACACTATTAAATATTTACGCAGCGGAAAACATGAAAATAAATTCCTGAACTTTTAATTCTTTTCTGAAAATTTCAATTTTATTTTCAGAGACTTCTCTATTTTTCTTTTTCAGAAACTTTGCAACTTTTTCTTTCCTATTTTCTGAACATAATTTTTGTTGGAAAAATAATGCACAGAAAGGACTATTTAAAATCTGCCCAAAACTGGACAAAACCTTGAAGAAGAAAAAAATGAAAATAAATTCCTGAACTTTTAATTCTTTTCTGAAAATTTCAATTTTATTTTCAGAGACTTCTCTATTTTTCTTTTTCAGAAACTTTGCAACTTTTTCTTTCCTATTTTCTGAACATAATTTTTGTTGGAAAAATAATGCACAGAAAGGACTATTTAAAATCTGCCCAAAACTGGACAAAACCTTGAAGAAGAAAAAAATGAAAACGGGCAGCTCCAGCAGAACTCGGCCTCGCGCGGGAGGCCCGCAGCGGCCCAAGGCCTGCGCCTCCGCGCGCTCGAGCGAGCCGGCCTGGTCCGCTGGATCTGGCGGCCCAGCAACCCAGCTGGCACGCTCCCTTTCTGGCCCAGCGGCCTGGGGCGGGGCTAGGGTTTCACGGTGGCCGTCGATCTGAATCCGACGGTCGCCCTTGCTTTTCGCCAGATCAAAACCAATCGATGCGGTGGGGGGCGAGGGGAACCCTAATCCTTTCCTCCCCCGCGCACCCCTCGCACCCCTCTCGCTCGCTGTCCCGACTGAGTCGAGCCACCATGCCGCGGCACGAGGCCGGCCGCTGGCGACGAGCGCCACTGCGCCACGATGCGCGAGCCTGCCCTTTCCCCCCT